GGAAAGCAAGGAAAGATCCCACACCTGCCAGGGAGTGAGCCAAACGAGACTCCCTTGGCAGCAGCAGTAAAGGGGTTCTGGCACAAGCAGCAGGGGTGCAGCAACACTTGTCCAAGCCTCTGCACAGGTGGAAGCTCCTTCCCTAGCACTGGGGAGGAGCCAGGAAGGGACAAGCTGTGCAAGGGCTCTGGGGCCTCCTTAGCAGCTGCTGAAAAGAGCCCATGAGGCACACTCAAGCCATAGGCTCAGGCTGCAACCCCTGCCTGGGAAGCTCAGCAAGCTGCTGTGCATGAGGCTCAGAGCAGCTTAGACTAAGGCCAGATAAGAGGGCAGGGCAAGAGTGCTGGCACCAGCTGTGGCTGAAGGGACAGCAGCAGAGAAGGAGGGGGGCAGGGAGATGGGCTCAGGCAGTGGCAGCACAGACAGACAGAAGAGGCAAGGGCTGTCTGAGCATCCTCCACTGCAAGGCACACATGAGCACTGGGCCAGGGAGAATGATTCTGGCTGACTCTAGGGCCAGCTTCCTTCCAGCCAGTCCCTACAATGAGGGTGGGGAGTGCTGCTGGCAGCCCCTGTGCCAAGATGCCTATTAATCCTCATGGCAGCAGCATTAAGCCATTGCTGTGGTCCTGGAGCAGAGACCTGTTGGGAGAGGGGGATACCAGGACTTGGCCACTTGTGCTCTCAGGCATGGCCCAAGGGGGCTCAGTCCCCAGGCTAGCAGGGGGCACAGCACTGCTTGCAGCCCCATTGCCAAGTGGAGGGGAGAGGAGGCTGAGGTCTCCTTTTAGGAAAGAGCAAGTAAGAAACTGCTGCCACACCAGGGGAGAGGACACCCACCCTGCAGCTGCAGTCTGGCACCTGCCACAACCAGCCCAGGCTGCTTGTAAAGATGGTCCCTGCTTCAAAGGACAGTGATGATTACTGGGCTTCCAGGGGGGATCAATCCCCTACCCTTCCCATTGCCACATCCAGCTGGGTGAGGTACCTAGAAGAGGACTGGGTCCTCACTACCCACTCCCCTTTCCCCACCACTCAGTCAAGAGGATTTTTTCAGTGGGGAAAACTAAGCTCATCTCCTAGTGTCCTGCCCCGGTACCACTGCCATTGCCTTGATCTGAGGCTAGGAGCAGTGGGGGCTGTTGCTGTGGGGATAGGGCTGCCTGAACAGCACTTAGAAACCCAGCACCAGTGTGCAGGATGTACAGGCCCAGCCTGCTGAGCAGTGTCTGGAAGCCTTGGACCCTGGCCAGCTGCTATAGCCTCCACACTACACCATCACCCAAGACCCTGCCTAGCCCTGGAGGGAGGCAGGAGTAATGGTCTGAGCAGGGCAGGGTGCAGGAGCCAGACCCTCTCCCCTTCCACAGCAGCATCCAGGCAGTGTGCCGCTGCTCAGAGCCCTGGGGAGCAAGCCAGGGCCCAGCAGTATCTCTACTTCAATGACAGCCCAGCGCTCCCCTTGCCCTCCCCACCACCCCATGGGTAGGTAGCCATGGTCCCACCAGCAGCTGACCCAGGAGCAGGGAGAGCTCAGCCGCTGCTCTGGCTCTGGTGGGTGTTAGAGCCTTGTGGTCCACTTCAGACCATGCATTGTAGCCATAGCAGCATCTGGACACTAGGGTGAGGGGGACAGGGGAATCCCCCATCCACAGCCCTGAGTGCCATGTCCACAGCCAGCCTCCCATCCCCACGTAGCGCTGTACTTCTGAGCAGGCAGAGGGAAGGGAGAAACCCCCCCCCACCCCTCCAAAATCGCCAGCTGTAAGACTGGTATCACAGGAAGTTGCTTCAGCACAGCCTGGTACCAGGCCATCTGCCCCAGCCAGCTCTATACATATGTAAATACATGTACATAGATCGTGTGACACGTTCTCGCACCGAAGGGCTATTGGGTCAGCGCCAGACCACTGGTGCCGCGCATGACCGAGGCATGGCACTTTCAGCCAGGGGCACCTGCTCCCAGCCCTGCAGCATGCTCCTGCACAACAGGCCGGTAGTCCGCACAGGATCTTAGGGCACTTCTGCACAATCCAGTGCCCAGACAGGGCATGACCTCCCCTCTGCCCATGGACAGCCTGGGCCCAGCACTCTACCCTGCCTGGCAGAGACCCTCCACCCCTACTCCCACCCTGTTCAACCCACTCTAGAGGAAGTCAGGCTTTTGCCCAGTGCCAGCCTGTACCCTTCCTAGGCAGGGTGCCCCAGAGGACAGAGGCGCAGGAGCCGGTGCCTTGGCAAATTGAAGGACCTGGTCCTGTAGCACCTAATCTGTCCCCAGGCCTGCAGGAAATTGGCTTCAGCCCCCCAGAAGGACAAGGTCTTCCTCAACAGGCCCTGCCCAGCACTTCAGCACGCACACCTCAAAAGCCTATGAGCACACCTGCCAGATGCCCTCCGGGCTGGAGGGATAGGGCTATTTACTGTCAAGCAGAGGGCATTTCAGTGAATAGGGCCCTGCCAGCAGCTGGGGCACATGGCCATAGGCTTGGGCAGGCTGCAGTGCTGGCCAAATGCAGACACCTGCACTGCCCTTTCCAGACAGGGCTGGACAGCTCAGAGGTGGAGCCAGAACACACCAGTCTGCAGCCAAACTGCAAGAGATTTCTCACAGCTCATTTCTCCAGCAGATCTCCACCCCGACACGCCTGGGGTGCAGTGCCAGCTCCTGCATCTGGGTCCTGCTGGCTAAGCCAGAGGTCATCTCCGTGCTTCTGGCACTCCTTTCTAACAGCTGCAGCTACATCCAAGTCAGCTGCAAAATGAAATGCAAGGGTGGGAGCCTGCCCAGGGCTGCTGGGGAAGCAAGCGCAAGCCCCACCAAGAGAGAAGTGGGGGAGGTGGGGTGGGGGGGGTAATGGGCCAAGCCCCAACCAGAGGAAGGTTGGAAGGAGACATGCACTGGACAGAGCAGAGCTTGTGCAGCCTCTGCAGGGATGGAGGGGAAGAGGATGAGGGGGATTTGATTTGGCTCAAGGAAAAAAAAAAAGAAGTGAGAAGCCCTGCACTAGGCCCATGCCAGTACAAGCAGGACCCAAAAATTGCCATGCTTGGGCCAGGCCAATCTCACAAATCCCTGCAGCCAAGGGAGGGGAAGCATTGGTGCTCAGCACTGAGGGAGGCTGGCCCAGGGTGGAGGCTCAGCTCAGCTTCCTCCCAGCTGTTGCGATATCCCCATCTCCCACAACTGTGGCTGTTCCCATCCACGAGCACCTCCAGGGTAGGAATCCAGGCACAGCACATGGCTTCACAGGTAGGACCTAGTGGCCGCGAGGCTTGCTGGGTCATGGTGCCCCAGGTGGCAAGGCCATTGCTGCTCTCCAGTCCTGACGGGCCCATGATCTCGTGCCACAAGGCAGGGCAAGAGGGAGTGACCCTGCTTGATGTACACTTCTGTGCCCCTGCAGGAGCACCCCCCTTAAGCCCTTCCATACAGAAGCCATCTCCATCCTGGCATCACCTTCCCTCCAAGACACTGGAACCGAACCCCACCAGCCCCCATTCCTTTTTCTATAGTAGTTGCCTGGGACCAAAAGTGTTTGCTGCTCACACCTGTTTCAGTTCAATGTTTACACTGAGGGCACTGATCCGCACCGTGCAGACCCCCTCCCCTCCCCAAATGCAGAGGGCTGCAGCACGAGCCAATCTGCCACGCACAGACTGACCTCAACCAAATGCAGCAAGCCACGCCATGCCACGAGCTCAGCCCTCCGGCGAGGCAGGCAGCCCCGGGAACGACCAGCCCGTGGCTCCCCCAAGAACTGTTCGGCATGCGAGTGAAACCAACCAGACTGAGTCACTTCTGCTCGCGTAGCACCTCCATCACGCCCCGTGTCTGTACATACCTGACCTGGAGCAAACTGTGGTGACACACCTGGATGCATGACAGTGAGATGTTTTGCACTATTTTGACTTTTTTGGGCTCTGTAAAAATATTTTATTATTATAACTGACATTAAAAAAACAACAACAACAAACCAACGAACAACGAAGGGAGTGCGCCCTTCCCCAGCCTGCCTCGGGAAACAGCACTCTGCCCAGACAGGCGCTGGGAATTAGGTACAGCCCCATACACCCAGACCCCGTGGTCAGCCCTGGCTCTAGCTGCAGCCGAGACCTGAACTTTTAGGTGCTCAAGGAAGTTGGTGTTGGGGGGAGGAATGCACAACACCACACAACTTTAGGGCTGCAGCTTTCTTCAGGGCTGAAGAGCAGGGCTGGATTGTCCAGTCCGGACCACCTGCCTCAAGCTCAGGGCTTCCTTTAAAAAAGGCCAATACTATCCCTGCTGGAATCCCATTCTAGTCACAGCCGGTTCGGTGCCCCAGCCCCTCCTAGAGGCACACACTCTGCAAGCAGATTTATGCCAATACCTACCCCCCCCCCCCCCCCCACACACACACTTTTAGCAGCATATCCCTAGAGGGGCAGATGTGGCCCTGGAGGGCAGACAGCCCTGGGCCAGAGTCCTGCACACTTCTCCCAAACCGAGGTCTCCCAGGTGATCATCCTAAGTCTCATGCGGTCCTAAATCCTTCAAGAGGAGTCAGGACACCTGGGTTTGTTCCCAGCTCTGCCACCTCTGTTCTACCCCA